AGAGGGAGCCCTGACTAGAGCTCCACACTGTGTTTTGTAAGCCAAGCTTATTTTACTTTATTTAAAGCGAGCAACGTCTTGTGAAGAAATCTGATTCACTACAAAATAGAAGTGTAAACACTGGACTCCACCAAAACTACCTTGTAAAATTGACTTGTCCAGATCCCTTTGGGTTTTAACAGAGCAGCATCTTCTCTTTCATGCACTGTCGCAGAGTCCATGTTCTTCGCTTCTCTGTTAGTAAAAGTCCAGGCTCCTCTAACAGGCAAGCCCACCCTGATCAAAGAGTGTTCAGAAGGCATCAAGCAAGGAGAGGTCCAGGGTCCCTAAATTGTTACTGGGATAAAACCGATTTCTAGAAGGATGGCAGGCTAGAGGGTCAACAGAACAGAAAACAAAAACGTCAAAGAAAGAGAGCACCTTGGACTTGTGGCACTGTCCTTGGTGCTGAATGAGATGTTTTTCAAGCTATATGCATTAAGAGTATTTACAACTAACTACAATGGGACAATAAATAGTGAATGCCACAAAATCCATATTTACAATGAACATGCTTATCATTAGCACCCAAAGGACTTCATATTTGGAGAAAAATGAAGACCAGAATTTTTTATAATTTGTACTTCTCAGGGTTTTTTTTTTTCCCCACATTCAGTTGGAATTCTTTAAATAGATAAATGTGTTATACTGAATTTCAATATAAAAATACAAAGATGGACTCTATGACTTGACTACATTAACATTAACTGAACATCCAGAAGGTACCAGGTATTGTATCAGGCATGAAGTTACAAGCCTATGCATAGTACAGGCTCCTCAAAGCAAAGGGAAAGAGTGCTTTACAAAGGTAGCAACTAATCTGCAAGACAGAAAATTTATGATCCAAATGTTCTTCCTCTGCAGTTTTTACACCAATAACCTAAGCTTTCTCTTCTCTAAACTTCTAATTCACAAAAGATCTCCAGCCCTACTGTCACTGGAGAAGTATCTGCTCTAGCAGTTTGAAGTTTTTAGATTGTTCTTCTTTATGGTAATGACAATATAGAAAGAGAATCATTCAGAGCATTGGTTTTATGACGTGTTTCCAAGATGAGAAGGAAAAAAACAGGGAAATTCCATAACAGCACTTTGTGTTCTCTGTCCTGTAGAAATAACTTATCTGTTTCATCTCTATTTGGAGAACATATTCATTCAGATGCTGCAACCCAATTATTAATGTGACCATAAAATTATCAGCGAAGCCAAACCCTACAGCTTGGAAGCTTCAAGGACAATTAGATGGATTATCAAAGCAATAAGCACAATGGATTACATAGTTTTAAGCCCTCTATTGAGAACACTCTCGTGCTTAATAAAATTTTAGCAGGCATACCCTGATTGACATCAGCTGCTGGCAGCCGCCTGTGAATTAACCACATGACAAGGTCAACACTTTAAATTTTATTCACAAATTAATCTCCTGCTGACATTCATGGACTCCAAACAGTTGATTCCTTTAAACAAAAGGAAAATCCTAAACAAAACCTCACCTTCGTGGTAATGAAATCCTGAAAATAATTCTCACACATGGGAGAAACATACATATATTTAAAAACTGACAGACCACCCATTATGTTTTCAACTAGCTGAAAAAAGAATGACCACAGATATGTCTCATTACAAAGAAAACATGACTCCTTTGCTTCTTAGCCAACAGACATCAGCCAAACCATGCCATTTTCTCCAGAACTGGTGAACTGGGTTGGGTTGTAAATAAAAGAAGCAAGAGAAAGGAAATTGAGTGAGTGTGATGTTATAGAAGGAGAGGATTAAGAGTAAAAGTCAAGAAGTGTTTCCATGTCATTCAACCACCTGTAGGAAAAACTCTACAGTGGCTTCCCCTTCAATTTAAAATAATGCCCAAAGGGCCTTTCATTTTACACACTTCATCTCTCCCCCTCTCACCTGCTGCATCTATTCCAGGAGCCCTGGCCTTTTTTTCTGACTTGCACACAGAGGAGCAACATTCCCACTGCAGAATGTTAACACATGATGGTCTTTGTGCTTGCAATGCCCAACCCTAGATCAACAGATGACTGACTGCTGTTTTATTACCATCAAGGTCTCACTAAAAATGTCACCTCCTTAGAGTTAATTCTAAGCCAAACTGATGTTTCACAACACTTCCTTGACATTCAGCTGTATCAAAAATTATCTAACTGTTCACTCATTTATGCATTTATGTTGCCCTTCTGCTGCTCCCTCTCCACTGTGAGCTTCATGAGGACAAGGTCTCTGTCTTATTCGCAGATGTCTCCTGTAGAGCCTGAAAAATGTTTGACACTTAGTAGGTGCTTAATAACTATTTGCAGTAATTACTGACTGTAATGGGGAAATATGTGCTTTCTACAAAGTGATTAGAGTAAAATATTTTCAGGAAGGGCTTTAGAAAAGCAATTTCTTACTGAAGAACTCCAAGGTCCTAGAAGATTCATCTTGTACATTTCAGGTGCCTGAAGCCTTTGTCCTGCCATTGCCAGGTTCACTGCCTATCCCAAGCTGCCAATTACGTGTGGTGCAGAACACAGGCCCCAGAGTACAAGCAAGGTGATGGGGAGCATCAAAAGCCTGGGGTCTAAGAATAATGAGATCCTGGAGCTGAAGACTGACTGTATTATCTCTGTAAAGTGAGGCTAGCATAATTAGAAGGCTCGGGGCTCTGATGCAAGTGAGGCACTGAGAAACTTGGACACTGGGCAAGGAAGGAGTGTTGATGTTGATGAGGCTTGATAGATATTTGCCATCAGGTTTAGGGCAGGAAGGTTCCATGAGCTTGGAATTCACACTTTCCTGTGAGCACAAAAAGAATGCTTTTAGAAAACTGTTAAGAAATACCCCTGGTTTTGCCCACTATAAGAAGGTAAAGTTTGGATATGACTAGCACATATAAACAAGTATTAGGTACACTTTCTCCTGACTGCTGGCCTATACCCACTAGCACAACACAGTAGTGGAGCAGTACGTCATCTACAACCCAAGCCAACGGTTTAACAACGCATTCAGCATGAACCATGCCACTGCTAGCACCTGAGCTCAAGGATGGCACTTATTTCACTGTGCAAAATGACCTTGGTCAGCGCTGAGCTTAGAGCCAAGCTCCAGTAGAATCAGCGGATGGAGAAAGGCTGTAAGTCTACATAGCACAAGAGAGAAGGGTGAAGGGTGATGTCATGATGTGGAAGAGCCTTGGCATAGGGTGGACAAATCTGGAGCCAGGTGGGAAGGTGCAGGAAGAATGCATTCTTGGGGCTTGTCATCAGGAAGAAAGGGGTAAGGACTGAAAAAACACTGTGTCTGATGAGAAACAAGGGGTGGGAATAAGGCGCAGGTATTCATCCCTCTCTCTCCTGACAAAGCCAACAGGAGAATGGAAAGGCCAGATGTGGGGATCTGAAGATGCCCAACGTGGGAGGTGATAATGGAAAGACGACAGAGGCAGCCATAGTGCAATTCCAGCTCTGGTTCAAATATAACGAATCACAGGCAGTGTGTGGCAGCACTTTGGAGCAGAATATGGTCACCTGATCAACAAACTGTACAGAACTGAGAGGTCATGTCTGGGTTTCGCAAGCCCAGTGAGATAATCACGGTATATCATCACAGACAATCCTTTTGTCAAATGTTTATGTAACACAAAACATAATGAGGAAAACAAAACATTTTCAATTTAAAACCCATGATGCAGAGAAGTTTACATAGTGAAGGGGATAAAAAATACTGACTAGCGATGTTGACAGAAGACCTTCTGTGCATACTGTTACTCTGGTGAGTGACTCCTATACATGCCAATTTGCCCCCAAAGTGTTTAAAAGCCAGTTCAGATGGAAGCTTTTCTCCTGCCACAAATTTAACATTCTGGTTCTCATGTCTATGCCTGAACACAAAATAATATTCAGAAAATACACATCTGCATGTTAAAAATGTCAGAGAGGAAAGGCCGGCTGAAACAGGAGGAACTGTGAAAGCATAGAACACCCCCCTCCTGTTCCTGGATGACTGGACCAAGAGACAGTCAACACAACTCCAGACTGGTCCAGAAAATCCGCATCATCAAACTTTTAAGATTATACAGCCTTCAACAATATACTACAGAAAGACTCCAAGGTTATTTTCTTTTAACTAAGGGAGAATTAGCAACCTCCCCAACAAAGGCCAAAATCTGCCTGGTCTCGGGAGGCTGACAGAACTCACCAGAGAATAAAACCAGGGAAAGTAACTCAGAAGTTATGACAATGGCAGTCAGACAGTCCAATATAAGGCTTGGCAATTTTTTTTCTCCAAAGAGCCAGAGAGTAAATGTTCTGGGATTTGCAGACCAAGAGGCAAAATTGAGGATACTAGAAATAGGTATCTTCATTAAAAAGTTTCACCATTTTTATCATTAAAAGTAAAAGCTTTAGTAATGGACACTGAAATTTGAATTTCAGATAATTTTCATGTGTCACAAATATTATATGTTTTCAATTTTTTTTTCAAGTGCTTCAAAACATAAAGTCCATTCTTAGTTTGCTGGACAAAAATAGGCAGTGGCAGGATTTGACCTTCAGGCCGCGCTTTGCCAGCCCCTGTTCTAGCAGGACCGGTGGAGGTAGAGCAAACATAAGCCATGGAGTCAGCATATGTGTCTGTGGTTGTTTTTTCCTCAAAGTTTTTTAAAACACCATAAAGCTGCACTGAAACATCCCAAATTCCCTGTGCTTATAACAAAATCATATTATTTACTTCATCCAGGAGCTGATGCTCGCTTCTAATTTAATTTAAATATCATCTTAGCTGTAGGTGTTGCACTGGTTTTGTACAATAAAAGCAGAGACAGGAGCAAACTGGGAAACACGCATTAATCAATTTCCATGACCATGATGAGCTTGGCATTGGGAAGGCATCTGATTTGAGGCATCTGCTCTACAAAGCCAGTGACCCCCAGCCACCGCTTGTAATGCTCTCCTGTTCTTATCTTGTAGGCTTTCATATCGGACGGGGCAAGACACAGCTAATTGTGACACATGCAGGAACAGTGCATGTATTATCTATAGGTATGTTAACGTTCTCCTCTTCCCAATTTCTTATTATGAGTGACAAATGATGTTTACCCACAAATGCAAGAACAATCTGGGGCCATGCTGGGATGATTCTTTCAGACAAGAAGTGAAGGACCTTACTTGATTGTAATTCTAAGCTACCTCTAAATACTTCACCCCAAGTATAGAATCATGGGATATGGGAGCGCTTGAACCCATTTATCTTGCAAATGTATTTTAGTGGTTTCAAAAATTGGTGTAAGTTTGATGGCTTGCTCCCTTGGAATCAATAGCCATGAGCCCTGGGCTGTGTGTTCTGGAAAGGCTGTAAAATATAGGCCCTTCAGAGGGTATAGATCAAAGGCTAGAAACTACACCATATGTGCTAGGAATACCATGGAAAGACCTGGGCTGCTCACACCAAATGTGCAATTTTATTTCCTGGGAACTCTCAAGGATTGTGCCACTGGCCTGACTCGGGGCAGAATCCCCTCTCCAGAGCTCCTAAAGTTGTTTCTTGCATTTTTTAAATTTGAAGTTTGTTCATATAACTGACATCAACAAGAATACAGCAGAAACTGCCAACAGGAAGCAGCTTTGTTAGGCTTTCATCATCAGTAATTTTGGGTTTTAAGATATAGTCAAAACCTTAAGAAGAATTACGATCTTTTTTTTTTTTCTTTTTGGAAATGTAATTTTTCACAAACAAAATATAAAAGCAGTGAGAAATGTTATGAGTAAGTTCATTTTTTAAAGTTTAGGCTAATTTTAGTGATCAGCCAGCCAAATTATCAAAAAACAATGATCAAACCACAACACCCTCTAAAAAGTTATTCAGTTACTGTCCTCTGCATTAAGAACACAGACATGGGGAGAGCAAAAAGGATGAGGCTACACAATCTTGGACCCATCAGGGTTCTCTCCCAAGGGAGATCCTAGATCTGACTGTCCACACCTCCGATCCAGACAGAGCATCCCAGACAGGGCCCAGGTTCCTTAAAAGGAAGGCTGGGTCACCTGGAGACTTTATCTGGGAGCAGGTAGAAGAAACCACAAGGTGGAGATGTACCGAAGGCCACATGAGCAAATTCCTTATTGCAGAGGTTCTCAACCAATGGCCCATTTGCAAAGTCTGGAGAAAGACGTTTTCAGTTGCCACAACTGAGTACTGCCACTGGTATCTAGCAGGGAGAGGCCAGGAATACTGCTGACATCCTGTGCTACCTGCACAGGGCAGCCCCCACAAGAGCTATCTAGTCCCACATGTCAACAGTGCTGAGGTTGAAAAAGCCTACCTTACTGAAACCACTCCGCCTTAAAGTCTTGTAAGAGGCACACACAGACTGTCAAGCCTCCTGGCAGCAGGCAGGGAAGAGGGGCCCCTGCAGCAGCCTGGCATGGCGCACCAAGCTGCTGACTGTTCTTGGCAATAGCCAATGAGGAGGTTAAAATGAGGCATCCATGTAGGTCTTTTTTCAACAATTCCTCCAAATCAGAAACTCAGTGATAGCAACAGATCGGAGAAGTTCGCTTCATGGGAAACTTTTCACTCCATTCATATTGCAAAGGGGAATTTTGAATCAACAGTGAAGGATTAGAAGGCTGACATAAAATTACCCTTCACCAACATCAGTACGTTAGCAAGTGTGGAATGTAGATAGCCCGGCATATCCTCAGAGTTCAGGTTCTGTTACTTTGGAAGCTAAAACTCATACAGTCTTTAACACAACCAAGCAACAGTGAGTCAGGACATCCAGGGTAGGTTCAGAGAATGAGCTATTCAGCCTAAACCTACCATAACATTCTGTGGGTGATCAAAAAAAAAAAAAAAAAAAAAAAAAAGACCTATTAGAACACTGTCTAACATCACTGAAATAATTTAAATGAATTTAGCTGTAAATCCAGAACTCCTATAAAAAGTGACATTAAAAGTGACTGAACAAGTCTGTGAAGGACAGAAATCTGTCTTTTCAGGAATTACTCCAGGGGTCACTGTTTTGAATTGGCTCAACCATTACTCTAAATGAATCCCAACACATCAGCCACTGGTCCACATGCTAAAAGAACTGAGTGACCAAGCACCTCAGGAATTTGCCAAGATTTAGGAGGACTCACTAGGCAGAGGGTGAGGCACTGTGATCACTCTGATTATCTCATACGAACAGGGAAAGTGCATGACGACTCATAGAGAACTTTTACTGCAGATGCAGTGATTTTACAGACAGGTGATTTTGGTGGCATCTTCAGAAACTGAATAGAGATGTAGCCCTCTGTAGCCTGCAGACCTGACTGTCACCCCTGTATAAATGGGAGATGCATCCTGGAAGAGGTGGTATTTGAGGAAAAGTGGAGTTTTAGATCTCTCTTTCCTGATTTTTAAAATCACTCCCTTTGAGAAAGTGGTCACAATGGCAAAACATCCCTACAACAGCCGAACTTTTGCTGCAAACAGAAGTTACCCCGGAAGGCCCAGCAAGGAGGTCCCAGGGCGGTCTGCAGAGTAGCATTTCGGCTGGACTCCCAATGCCTCCCAAAGCCTTTATTTCATTGAGTCCTGTCAATGAAATAAACTAGTATGAAACTCAAGAAATGAACTATTCAAATAAAGATTGCACTATGACTACCAAGTTGAACATACAGAGCTCATCAAATGCTGTTTCCTAAATTCCCTATCACGTTATAATGGAAATAATTAAAGTTTAACAATTGCTTTTATAGTGGTTATTACGTTGGATAAGAGCTTTGTGAGGTTGTAGGAAGAGATGATAAAGGGAATGAAAGCTCACTTCTGGTCCATTAATTGAAAAAATCAATGGGGAAATCATAAAAAATGACAGGTACCTAACTCAAACATATTATTTTTAATTTGAATCACATGAATTGAAATCTTACATTTATATGATTTCAAGTTATGGCAGCCTGCTGAGGTGAGGCCCAGATGTTTTCTTTGAATGTGGGCACCCCCACTATGATTCCGAGTTATCTTCCATGAGCCATACCAATTTTCCTGTCTTTAGAGTGGAGTAAAGTTCTGTGGCAGAATCTGAGATCAGAATCCTCTGGATCCATACTTGGCCTGTCCCTACCTTTTTCACTCAAGATTTTGTGGCATCCCACTCTTTCCAAAGCATTGAACTCACAGCAATGACTATCCTCTCATGCCTCCTTGGTTTGCACACCATTCAATAACTACATCATTTCAATCGTGAGTACTAATTGTATAAACAGGTCCAGGAACAAATCTGGCATCCTCTTGGTAAGCATGAAGCTTGAGAAGTAAGAACAGAGGGTCACAGGCCAACGACAGAGAAGTCAGTTAGTTAAAGGTCCCAGCGTCATGAGTGTACCACTTATATCATGGAAGGACCTGGCCATGTGGTTAATCTGTCGTTCATCTGTCAGGTAAGAGGGTTTCTGTAATCCTATCTGACTACCAAAGACTGGATTACTAGGAGGAACAGATACTTTGACTGGCTCTGGGAAGCTGCGGGTCTGTCTGATCCTGCCCTGGTGGCTGAGAGTTGCTGATACACAGGGACAGGTGACTTCCCTCAGGGTCCCACTGAGCAGAGAAAGGGGAGGATGAGCAATGGGGATTGAGCTGGGTGACTTCTCAGCTTGCAGTCAGCCCTGTGAGTCAACCCCCAAATGTCAAAACCTTATTTAAGAATAGAAGTTTCTTTGGTAGAAAAGTGTTCAGAACCCAGTGAGTCCTTGGCCAGGAGAAATCACTTATTCAGGTGACCCTGTAGCAGTATATATGGGTGGCCACGGCACCTCAGGAGTCTAAACTCAAAGGGAGCCAGAGGGTGTCTCCAAATTTTAAAAGCTTTACAAATCTAAGTCCATGTCTTGTCCTCACCATGAAAACTTGCAGGCAAGTCCTCCTTGAATTCCTGCATACGAATCTGTAGAGAGACAGTCCCAGCAGCAGGGAAGAGTGTGCCTCAGGTCAGAGTCCTTCAGAGCCTGGCTCTTAGGTGCAAGGGCCTGAATCCAGGAGTTCAGGAACTTTCCTGTGAGTCCCTACACCACCATTACCCACCCCCTTCTCCATACACACCGTGGGATGTCTGGAACACCCTGGGATTGGGTAGCTTAAAGGAATTTCAAAATAAAGAAGTCTTAGAATGCCACATGACTGCGGTTGTCCCAGAGGCTTGAGAACACGGGGGGCCATCATAGCTGCCAGCATCTACACGTTGCAATTTGTCATACCCTGCTTTCTGGAAGGCCGAATGCCCTGGAGGGCAACGAATTTGACCCTGCCTGTCTTGCATTTAAATACTGCTTTTCACTCTAAACCCAATTACCCTCTCCTAGCAGCATTGCTATCCACCGTGTTTCCAGTAATGCCTGGCCCAGGGAGATGAAAAGAGTCCTGTGTTCAAGGCCTGGCCACCTGAGGCTTTAGCAACAGGTCCTGTAACAAATGTGTGCCTTGGCTACGGGAGGCGGGACATATTTCTCTATGAAAAATAATTCTGTCATGGAAATATAGAGGACTAAAAAAAGCATCCAAAGGACAAAAGGTCTTGATGCAATTTCGCGAGGAAGAAACCACCAGTACGACAAGCGACAGGTTAGAAAATGAGCCCGTGAGAGCCTGCCGCGTGCCTTCAAGGCTGGGGCTGAGCTTCTGCCCTCTCTCTTGGGCGGGCATCTGTTCAGTCTCCAGGTGCTCTGGGGTTGCACTAAGGGATCATCAAGGTCTAAAATCCCAGGAACTGCTTTCTACAATTATGCAAGGGATGGAACTATGGGCTTCAAGAGAGTGCACAGAAGGGTAAAAGTGTGGAGAGTCACAAGGCATTTCTCAACTGAAAACACCCTCTCCTGTGCTGGCAAATCTATTTAGTCAGAGCTGAGCCACACTTCTTCAGCAGAGGATGATGGGCCTTCTCTTAGACCACTGAAACCCCAAGTGCCAAAAGTGATATTTTTGAAGGATTTTGAGATGGTTGACACTTACATGTTTTCCGAAGATGACAGACATCACTTCAGCTGTGATCTAG